GCAGGAACGCGCTTCCTGCAAATGAATATAAGAGGACCCCGCAGTACAGAGTGGGTAGATGAGCCAATTTGACAGAACATACTTATTTTGGCAATAGATTTGTCAGAGGAAAGACTGAAGGTGAGACAGGAGCCTGCAAAGGATGTTGGGGGGAGAAAGAGAAAGAGATTTACGCCAGAAATCAATTAGTGGCATAGTCTGCATTTCACTTAAGAGCCTTTTCCGCGTCATTGCTCTTGCAAGAAGCCAGAACAAGAGACCTCCGACCAAGAATTTGCCGTTGCTGGCAGAGTTCACACATTCAAGCCCTATGATCAATTCACAATTAGAGGCCCCAGGAGTTATGCCACCTTGAAATATCTTCTTTTCTTGTCTGGTGAAATAAAAATAGCTTTTCAAAACCGTCATATTCGGCTGCAAGAACAGAAGGGCAAAATTCCTTTGGGGTGGGCCATTAAAAATTGGCCTGCTGGGTCAAGCCAAAAGTCCATCGAACCCATCCGGCTGTCTCCAGCCATCAGTCTGCAAACTTGTGGGTCAGTGCTAGATACTGACTAAGGCAAGAGAAGATCAATGAGTCAGAGGCAATAGATGTGGTCACCAGTGGAGATTGGTCCAGGCCCCACTTGTCCATTTTCCTATTCCTACGTCTCAGCGTTGCACAGCAGAGCAGAAGATGTGGACCAAACCAGCACTGTTTCCCCAGTAACTTTCCCCATCTTGGTGCCCGCCAGAGGTTTTGGATGGCAACTCCCATCAGCACAGATTGTGTTCCAAAATATGTGGAGGGCACCGGATCCTTTGCCTCAGGCATCATCTGAACCTAGTCTGGGGCCTGATCCTGAAGAGTCCCAGTCTGCACAGGTTCCCCTGCAACAAACACCAGCTGGGCTGAGTCAGGGGCCTGAGCCTGCCCTGGCTCCAGATGCGGGGATTCCCTCGTTGCCTCCAGCTGGGCCATCACTTACAGCTGCTCCACTACCGGTTGGGTCAGGGGAGGCTGAGGCGGCCCCTGGGTCTAGTAACCCACCGACGTCTCCTGAGCTGCAGAGACTCAGGTCTGAGAGACGGAGAGACCTGAGTACTTGCAGGAGGAGTGCTCGCCTTCGGGCGAAACAGGGAGGTGAGTCGCCGGGGGATCAGGACTGGCCGTTACCCCGACAAAGATAAAAGGCTGTTGGACCCCACCCCAGGTTGCAGGGGCAACATTGCTGTATGCTAGATCCTGCCTGAGATCCTGTGCCTGTCCTTGCCTGGTTTCCTGCCTTGGCCCTGTCGGACTGACTCCCAGAGGAACCTTTGGATTCTGCGCTGGTCCTGGACCGCGTTTCACGGGTTACCCCCAGGCCCAGCACAATGTAGAAGGAGAAGGGGACGGTGACCAATGTCTACTAGCTGTGACTGTAGCACCCTGCTTGTGGTTAACGCTTAGCTGGAATGAAATATTCAACGCAGCAATAGAGAAATTAAAATAATAATTTATTTGTCAGACAAATAAATGAGAGACACAGTGGTATATGGTTACCAAAGCTCTGCCCACTCCAGCCCTGATGGCCAGCACTTATATTTCCTCAGCCCAGCCCCCTTGCTCCTCCTTTGGCTGCCTCTGTCCAATCAGCCTGGTTGAAATTCCTATTGGCTGTTTGCTAGAACCAATCATAAAAGATACACCCATTTCCTATTACCTTTTATGGGAGACAAAGAGCTATATTTCCTTCTATCCATAAATGGCAGACAAGTAGCCATATATCTTACATTTGCCTCGACAAGGCACCTTAATTACCAGATCATCTTTGCCCTATTGCCCTATTACCCCTTCACTCCAAAACAGATGGCTAAAACAGATGGCTCATGGTTTTAATTTTTATCTTAAACAGAGATCTTGGGTTCACCTTCTCACACACCATCAATGAAATAAGAATCTAACATAAGAATCTAACATTTCTTACTTTCTAAATACTTTGCATAATTACATTAAGCCAATATATTTCATACATTAACATATATAGCTTTTTAGAAGGAAAGGAACTTAGTAAAAACAGTTTCCAAAAGCAACCCCTTAAATTTACACCCTCCTTTCAAGCCAGCTGCTGTTCCTATTAGCTCTTGCCCTTTAACCTTATGAAAATATGGCTCAAGTCTAATGGGAGGCACCTAGTATTATTTTCTGTTAAACAATAAAACTTACTATTTACTAACTCTTAATTGGTGTTTTTGCAGCTTGATTGTATTCTGTAATATGTAGGGTCACTGTAACCTTTGCCCCCAGCCTGTAATTTCCTTTTACAACTTTGAGGTACTGCTATAGATCAGGGGGGCCCTTGATCAAGAAGATAAACAACTGCCAGAGTACTCAGCCAACTGGTTTATGCCTGGCATAAAACATACAAACATTTGCAAATATATTTTTTTTAAGCTCATTTTAAAATGCAGGCCTTGATCTGATGCCTCATGACGGCTCATCGCTGCCTCCCCAGTTGGAGGCAGGAATGCTTTTGAGTCCCAGTTGCTATAAACCTCAGGAGGGGAGAATGTTGCTCTTGAGCTCAGTTTTTGCTTGCTGGTGTGATAAACATAAAGCTGCTCTTATTCCCTTATGGGGGACACAAGAGCCCTTACAGAGTCCTTTGTAGGTTCTCCATCGGTCGGAGAAAAGAACAGAGGCCAACCAGAAAATATTGAGAAGCAAAGCAGCTCGTGAGCCTGATCTTTGTTGAACTGTTGCAACAGGGTCCTCACTCACCACCCTGTTGCAACAGGGTGCTCCCCTCTCATGCAGGAAAGGAGGAGGACCCAGAACAAAGGTGTGCCCGCCCTTATATAGACATTTTGAATTGCCCGCCTTGGAGTCCAAGACCACCCCCAGTATATGGAAACATCACCGCTGCATACAGCCAGATTGTTGACATCACATGATGTGCCTATCTGTGGGAAAGAAGAGTTTCCCAGGACGTTCACAGGCTGGATAAGTCTTTGTGAAGAGTGTAACTTGAAACCTTCCGTTTGCGCATGTTCAGGAAGTTTGTCAGACTTGCTAGAAGAACTGAACTGAAAGGACGTGTTTTTCTCTAGTGCTGTAATGTCAGAAATAAACATCATGTAAATAGATTTCTGACTTATTTTCTTTCTCCTGCGGAAGCAGGAGGGAGGAGTTGTGCATTTTACCCACGCTTGGGAAAATGTCGCCTATCAAAATCTCCCTGGTCTGTCTGGATATCAGCCAGAGGAGGTTACCGGTAAGCAAGCTCCGAGGACAGTGAGAGGGGCCAGCCTCTCTGGAGGGGGCTTGCAAACCGACAGAAACATCCAGCCTACATCACAGAAGGGGTGTAGCTCAAGACCACCACCCCGACACATCATATCTACGTCACAGAAGAGGCGGTCTACAACAGAAATCTGAGTGCGTTGTTTACCTCCTGTCTGGCAGGTCACCTGTTAATGCTTACTTGATGGGATACCCTGGGGAGCCTGGCCAGTCTTTTGTAATGACAAATACTTAGTTCCTGAGCCAGGTCACAGGCTCACCCTATTCATACACAGACATACCCTTAAGATGGGATTTGTGAACGAAAAGACAATGGGAGGCTCCCCCACTTCCTCCCTCCTCGCAGAGAAAACATTTGAAAATGGTTTCAGGGCGGTCCTCCTGTGCTGCTCCAGACATGTGATCCACACATCTGTGTATGCGCTTGGTTGGTACATTTATGAACATTATATATATATATATATATCTATATATATATACACACACACACACACACACACACACATATGTACATATATATATATGACCTTAAATTTTTTATTTCACTGGTTTCCTACAAACATCTGGTTGGCCACTGTGAGAAGAGGAGGCTGGACTAGATGGGCCCACTGGCCTGATCCAAGAGACTCTTCTTAGAAACCAAGAAGACCCATTGCCTAACTCCATCAAGATGCCACCTGCAACCTTTGCTCGGGTTTTAATTTCACTGTCTCTGTGGGCATTCATCCCTGCCACTTCAGCATCCGGGAAGGTGTAAGATGTGCTTGACATTTGCTTCCTTCTCCTTGAGAGGCAAATCTTTTGAAATGTGTTTCTTTGTAAGCCATCTATTTTGGTGTTTTGCAGAATATTTCCAGGGGAAGGCCATTATTCAGAAGGCTTGCAAAACAACAGTCACGGGCTGTTGTTTGTTTTTCAACACCAGGACAATGCATCAAGGCATCACGCGGGATGGACGTAGTCATGGCAACAGCAGCGGTACAGATAGACAGAAGACGATATGCCATTAAGTACATCACAGGGTAGCCGTCTTCATCAGTCATGCTAATCATCGCATCCAGACTGGGCCTCCTGGAAAGGAGAAGGGGGTGGGCTTCCTTGTTCTTTCTTTATTTTTATTTTTATTTATTTTAAAAAATGCATTTTGAATTCATTTCAAGAAAAATAACAGTTCTGGGGAAGGGCCGGAGCTCAGTGTTAGAACATCTGCATGCAGAAGGTCCCAGGATCAAAGTCTGGTATCTCCAAATAGGACTAGGAAGGACTCCCCACCTTAATCCATGGAGATCCACTGCTGGTTAGCATAGACATGCAATGCAGATTCCCTTGAACTTAATATAGGAACAGGTAGGTAGCCGTGTTGGTCTGACGCAGTCGAAATAAAAATAAAAAAATAAAAAATTGTCCAGTAGCACCTTATAGACCATGGGTAGGCAACCTAGGGCCAGGGGCCGGATCCGGCCCAGTCACCTTTTATATCCGGCCTGCAGACGGTCCGGGAATCAGCATGTTTTTACATGAGTAGAATGTGTCCTTTTATTTAAAATGCATCTCTGGGTTATTTGTGGGGCCTGCCTGGTGTTTTATTTAAAATGCATCTCTGGGTTATTTGTGGGGCATAGGAATCCGTTCATTATTTTTTTAAAAAAAATATAGTCCAGCCCCCCCACAAGGTCTGAGGGACAGTGGACCGGCCCCCTGCTGAAAAAGTTTGCTGACCCCTGATTTATACCAACTAAGTTTGTTCTGGTATAAACTTTCGTGTGCATGCAGACTTCTTCAGATCCTGGAATCTTCTGTCTATGAAGAAGTGTGCATGCACACGAAAGCTTATACCAGAACAAACTTGGCCCTCCAGATGTTTTGGGACTACGACTCCCATCATCCCTAGCTAACAGGACCGGTGGTCAGGGATGATGGGAATTGTAGTCTCAAAAATATCTGGAGGGCCAAGTTTGCCTATGCCTGTTCTATAAGGTGCTACTGGACTTTTTAAAAATTATTATTAATATAGGAAGGGTATTTTCTGGCAAAGGGTGTTTAAGGAGATGACAGAAATCACTGGGTTAAAGCTGACCAAAAGTCCAAAGATAGCATTATTATAAATTTGTAATGGGGTGGAAGGTTCGCAGGCAGGCAGGATACTGTATACCAAGATTGTTAGTTCCGGTACTTCATTAACGTAGCAGAATTCAGTGGCAAAAATCCTTATTACATTGGGGGATGAGTCAAATGAATGCCTCCCCGGTGCCCAGAAAGCAAAGGGAATGTACAGCTTAGCGGTTTCTTGCAGGAGAGGCTTCGCTCTGCCCTGTGCCATGTGGGTGAGGGAAAAAGAGTAGAGTATATTGGGCGGAGCTGGGAGGTGAAGCAGAGGAAGATATGTGCACTTCAGAAAGCAGCTCGAGCATCTGGTTATCGGTTTCTTGTTAAATCAAAGTACTGAGACTTGTAATGAGAAGTGTTTATTGATCCTGTCTGCACTGCACGGACATCTGCTGAATAAACTGCCCAAGTTCTGCTTCTGCCTGGAACAGATTTCCAGGATATAGCCAAAATATATATCCCTGGAGGAAAGCCTTCTGCGAGGCAGTGATGGTGTGTGGTTTCTGCACCCAACCACAGGGTGTACAGAGGAAGGTGCCTAATACCATAGCTGTCAAGCGTCCCTTATTTGGAGGGACAGTCCCTTATCCCAGCGCCATGTCCCGCTGCTGTCCCTTATTGATGATGTCAATAAGCTGCAGATGGAGCACGAGAGAAAAGATACAGAACTGCAGCAGCATCTTCGTAGCTTGGACTTCGTTTTGCGCGAAAAGTGGTTGCTGCTTGTAGTTCTTTAATTGCAGTGTTTCATCAGCTGGTGTCTTGAGCGGCAACCTCTGGAAACGAAGGGCTAAAAACCGGCGCTGCTCTCCAAAATTATCTGGTCCCTTTTAACTGGTTGACTAAAATCCCTTATTTTGGCTGCTGGTCCCTTATTTTCAAATCTGTAAGTTGACAGCTATGCAAATACCCTTGGTCCATCTAGCTCAGTATTGTCTACACTGACTGGCAGAAGTGTCAGGAGATGCTGGGAGTTGAATCTGGGACGTTTTGCATACAGCACAGATGCTTTATCAGTGATCTGTGGTCCTCTGGCAGAGGCTAAGGCTGTACCACTAAGCTATGGCCCACCTGGGCCATTCAGTCCAGTGGAGCCTACTCTGGCTGGCAGCAGCCCTCTAGGGTCTCAGTCAAGAGGTCTTTCATGTTCACTTGCTCCTTTTGAAAAAAGGGTGTTTTTTTAAAAAACCCTGAAAATACCAAGATTTGCTCCTGGGACCTTCTGCATGCAAAGCTTTCATTCTATGGTTTTCTTCCAATAAAGGGGGAAATCATTACATTAAGATCCAAAACTGGGGGGGCGGGAGGGAAGTCAAAAGGGATTATATGTTTATGTATTTAATTCATTTCTTTATGTAAAATAGAAGATGCAAAAATGTAAGTTATGAAATGCCTGTAGCCCCTAATTACTACTCCTGAATAAATCTATTAGTCTTAACGAGTCACAAACCCCACCAATTCTGCATCTCCTCCCACTTATCCAGTATCCCTAAGCAGTTAATCTTTGCGCTCTGTCCTGGCTGGTGTGCTTTGCGTCTCCCTCCCCTCTCTTCCTGTTGGATTTTGAATTAAATCTTAATGGTTGTTTATCTGGCGGGATACGGTTACTTGCCACTTTTCTCTGATTGCACACCAGGCTCTCTTACCTTCAAATCATAGAATTGGAGAGCTGGAAGGGACCCCGGGGGTCATCCAGTCCAACCCCCTGCAATGCAGGAATGAGGGGTAAATAATCCATATAGTTAAAGCTCTGGTTTTCCCAGTAGTGATGTATGGAAGCGAGAGCTGGACCATAAAGAAGGCTGATCGCCGAAGAACTGATGCTTTTGAATTATGGTGTTGGAGGAGATTCTTGAAAGTCCCATGGACTGTAAGAAGATCAAACCTCTCCATTCTGAAGAAAACCAGCCCTGAATGTTCACTGGAAGGACAGATCCTGAAGCTGAGGCTCCAATACTTTGGCCTCCTCATGAGAAGAGAAGACTTCCTGGAAAAGACCCTGATTTTGGGAAAGATGGAGGGCACAAGGAGAAGGGGACGACAGAGGACGAGATGGTGGGACAGTGTTCTCGAAGCGACCAGCATGAGTTTGACCCAACCGCGGGAGGCAGTGGAAGACAGGAGTGCCTGGCGTGCTCTGGTCCAGGGGGTCATGAAGAGTCGGACATGACTAAACGACTAAACAACACGAAATCCCTGGCAGATAGCCGCCCAACCTCTGACTAGAAACCTCCAAGGAATGAGAGAACACCATCTCCCAAGAGAGTCTGTTCCACTATTGAACAGCTCTTGCTGTCAGAAAGTTTTTCCTGATGTTGAGTCGGAATCTCCTTCTTGCAACTTGAAGCCATGGCTTCGAGTTCTACCCTCCAGAGCAGGAGAAAACAAGCTTGCACCCTCTTCCATGTGACAGCCCTTGAGATATTTGAAGATGACTCTCATATATCCTCTCAGTCTCCTCTTTTCCAGGCTAAACATACTCCTTCAACCGCTTCCAGACCTTTGATCATCTTGGTTGCCCTCTTCTGCACACCTTCCAGCTTGTCAATATCCTTCTTGATTGTGGTGCCCGGAACTGGACACAGGACTCCAAGTGAGGCCTGGCTAAGGCACAACTGTATGAAGCTGGGGCTGATGGGAGTTGTAGTCCAATCTGGAAGGCACCAGGTTGATGAAGGATGAAGGTGGAGGCTGCGAGACTTAGAGCTACTTAGACTCTAATTATGGGGAGGACTTGCTACCCAAAAGTGATGCTTTTGCTAGGAATAAAACCCGGCGTGTTGCTCTTTGCTGGCGAATTGTGAGTTCTGAGTTTATGGCCTTTGCTTCCACCTCCGTTCAGCACGGCTGGTCTTTCGGCTTGCGATGCGAGTGATGGATGGAGCGCTGAGATTCCTGAATGATGCTCCCCGCAACCATAGGTGCTAGAGCCTAGAGGGGATGGGAAGCAGCCTGAGCTGGATTCCTTTGCGTGGACAGGCGGAGTCCCCCAGATCCCGGGCGACCCCCCCCCCTGTCATGTGGAATAACGACTCAAGACAACGTGCTATGGGATTAAATTGGCCACAACTTTATTAAATTTCAAATGTGGGTAGATCTTGGCTCAGGCATTGGGCGTTATCCCTCCCCAGTCCCCAGCCGGGGACCTAGGGAGCATCAGGGTTATCCAGTGGGGGGGGGATGCGCCGGCTCTGGAGAACATATGTTCAAGCAGAGATAGCCGCCCCCGTTATGCCACCGCCGCAGGGGAGAGCAATGACGACCTCTCAGCGTACGGTCAAAACCTCCCTTCAGAAACCCCTTTAACGGGGAACCCTGGTATCGCCACTGCAAAGAGGAAGATGGACTAAAGGATTCTGCCCAAGGCCTGATACCGCCACCCGAGACCGCAAAGATTGCAGTCTCGCCGCCAAGACTACCTACATCTGAAAAGACCCTTCACCATCCCGCCACCATAGGTGCTGCAGCCTAGAGGAGATGAGGAGCAGCCTGAGCGGGATTCCTTCCTGACAGGGACACCAACTCTTTAAAACCGGGTTAATTGCCTGTTAAGGGGAAAGCAAAGCAGCCTGCAGAAAACGCCCGTAAAAATGGCTTATGGCTGTGTCTCACTGCAGTGCTGTTAATATTCTTTAACGAGGGAGCTGGAGAGCTGGGGATCAGGCAGCCGCGCCGGGCGGAAGGACTGAGAAGCCTCTTTGGTTCAAGAGGAAAAGAAATCCCGGAAATCTCCCACAGCTCAGCAGAACGGCATCTCCTGTGCATGCAGAAGGTCCCAGGTTCAAATCCTGGCATCTCCGGGTAAGGCTAAGAATATCCCTTGCCTGAATTTCTGGAGAGCTGCTGCTGCCAACCTAGCAGTTCGAAAGCACGTCAAAGTGCAAGTAGATAAATAGGTACCGCTCCGGCGGGAAGGTAAACGGCGTTTCTGTGCACTGCTCTGGGGTTGCGGCGCTCATCTCGCTTTATTGGCCGAGGGAGCCGGCGTACAGCTTCCAGGTCACGTGGCCAGCATGACTGGCGAACCAGAGCAGCGCACGGAAACGCCGTTTACCTTCCCACCTATTTATCTACTTGCACTTTGACGTGCTTTCGAACTGCTAGGTTGGCAGGAGCCAGGGACCGAGCAACGGGAGCTCACCCTGTCACAGGGAATCGAACTGCCAACCTTCTGATCGGCCAGTCCTAGGCTCTGTGGTTTAACCCACAGCGCCACCCGCGTCCCATTAAACATTAAAAGCTTCCCTAAACAGGGCTGCCTTCAGATGTCTTCTAAAAGTCCGGTAGATGTTCTTCTCTTTGACATCTGGTGGGAGGGCGTTCCACAGAGTGGGTGCCACCACCGAGAAGGCCCTCTGCCTGGTTCCCTGTAACTTGGCTCCTCCCAGGGAGGGAACCACCAGAAGGCCCTTGGCGCTGGACCTCAGCGTCCAGGCTGGATGATGGGGGTGGAGACGCTCCTTCAGGTATATTGGACTGAGGTCAGAAATGTATATCAAGTCTTCGCCTCCTTGCCTTCCTCCCTATCAGTCTCAATCAGCCCCATCCGCCTCCGGGTTCAGCATACGATTTGCAGATATACAGCTTCCATTCCATGACGCAGGGCCTGTGCAGGAGATCTTCCTGTTCGCCCCCACTCCCTGCCACAATGACGCCACTATCCGCACCTCACAGCAAGGCCACCTGAGCCGGCGGAAAGGAAATCTATATGCCATTGCACCTGCTTTAGTCTTCAGTCTGAGCAGA